CGAAGAACATAGGTAAACAGTCCGTATGTCCCGAAGAACATAGGTAAACAGTCCGTATGTCCCGAAGAACATAGGTAAACAGTCCGTATGTCCCGAAGAACATAGGTAACCCTCGACCCTTGGCATGCCAACTATACCCCTAGCTCTCATATCACATAACATGGGCATTATCATTTATGACCGATCACATTACTTATTCATATTCTTACTCTTATAAACACATATCGTTTCTTTTCAGTCACGTATTACATATACGTGTAATCCTTGATCTCATAATCACATGTTCCTTCTCTTCTATCACATACCAAATGTATGTGTAAACACATATCTAATATCATATGTTGCCTTTTCATGTAAGCATGTAAATCATGTAACATATAAACATACATTCATTTCTATGTACTAATGCATACAGAGTAATCACATAACATTATATAAGTTACTTCTTACCATAGTAACTCTATCATTGACTCATCGCAAGCCAATGTTTGATCAATCACATAAGTACAATTTAAATTGCACTCACCTTAGCCTTGCTTTGATTCGATTATTCCGGAACTTGTTTAGGCTCAATATCTACATAAATATATCATTTCAAAACAACTATCAGAAGCCTAAACTTTAAACTTGATGTTAATAACTTAAACCGATTTAATAAATCGAATTCTATATTTTCATTTAGGGGGGAATCGATACCCCCCCCCAGGGGAATCGATACCCCTTGAACAATCTGGAATTTTTCGTTCAAGAGGGGGAATCGATTCCCATTCATAGGGTATCGGTTCCCTCTACCCAGAAATTGCATTCTAAGCTCGAAAATCATCAATTTTCAACTCAAACCTTCCTATTTTACTTCCTTTAATACTCCTAACTTTAATAAACATACTTAAACTTATTTCTATTCCATAATCACTTCTTTAACTTCAAATCTAGTCATTCCTATGTAATTACAAAAATTCTACTAGTTTTGCAACAAGTTCAAATTCCTATTCTAACACTTTCTATCCCTTAATTAACTTGATGACAAGTCAAATTCAACTTTCAATTCTCAATATACACTTTATTTCAATATTTCATTCAAAAACTCATAATCTTTAAATCCTCATAACCTCTTCATTTTGTTGTTTTAAAGCAAAGTAACCCTTCCTTAATCTTACTTAGCATCTAATAATCAAAACTAAACTTAAATTTCAGCACATAATCAACTCAAGAGACAACTTACCTTTGCTTGGCTTCACACGTGGAGAAGAGAAAATGAAGAAGGAAAAGAGAGAAGAGATTTTTCTGGAAAAATCTCCATCCTTATCCATATATATATCATTTAATTATAATTTCAAGTCTAATGACCATTTTGCCCTTTAATTCTTTAGATAATTACAATAAACTTTTAGGAAATATTTCTGAACAAATCATTAAACTATTAAACTATTACACTTTCATCACCATATTCTAAAATTTTACAATTTTGGTCACTAACCCGTATTTTGGGATGTTACATTGATGTTATTGATGAATTTAATAAGTTGACTCAATTATCTTCTGTGGAGGAGTATGAAGCTCAGTTTGAGGAACTTCAACCTTATATTCTTCCGATTAGTCCTAAATTAGGAGAGGAGTATTTTGTTTCTAGTTTTTTTGAGTGGTCTTAAGGAGGAATTAAAACACAAAGTTAAGGTTTTGGAACCAAAGACTGTAGCTGAAGCTGCTGGGAAAGCAAAACTCTATGAACTATCTTTGGAAGTAGAAAGCAAAAGAAATAGAAGTATTCCAAGACCAATGTTATCAGGAAATGCTACCAGTTCCAGAATACTAAATTCATCACAGAGTTCATATTTGAAGAACAGTCCAGGAATTACTCAAAACAGACAACAGTTATTGGAGTATAGAAGGGCAAATAATTTATGCTATAAATGTGGTGATAAGTTTACACCAGGCCATCATTGCAAATTTAAACAATTAAATTCTGTGGAAGAGATAGAAGAGCAAGAGGAACTTGAAGAATTACAAGCAGCTCAACCTAATTGTAATAAGGCAACATCTGAAGAGAATAATCCAGAGATTTCTATAAATGCAATTACTGGTAATTCAGGAAGCAATACCCTTAGAATTCAAGGATTCATAAAGGGGAAACCACTTAGTATCCTAATTGATAGTGGTAGCACTCACAGTTTTGTCACTAACAGATGGGCTAAAGAAGGGTTGGAGTTGGAAGAAACTAATCCATTAGTGATTACAGTGGCTAATGGTGATAAACTTTACAACACAACAAAAAGTAAACAGTTGAGCTGGGAAATGCAAGATTTTACTTTTATATATTATTTTAGGGTTTTAAACCTTGGAGGCAGTGATATGGTACTAGGAGTTGACTGGATGAGAAAATACAATCCAATCTTAATGGATTTCAACAACATGACTCTTAGTTTTAAAATGGGTGAACATGAGATTGTGTTGAAAGGAGGATTGCATTCTACTACAATGAAGATAATTTCAGGCAATAAGATGCAAAAATTGATGATTAAAAATCATGAAGTACTGGGGGAGATTTACATGTTAAATGCAGAGGTTGCTGATAATGAAATACCTCCTAATCTTCAAGAAGTAATTGTTGATTATACAGATGTTTTTGAGGAACCTACTGGATGCCTCCAATAAGGAAGCATGATCATTCTATTATTCTTAAATCAGGAATTGAAGCAATAAATGTCAGACCCTACAGGATGCCTTATCATCAGAAAACTGAAGTTGAGAAACAAGTGGCTGAAATGTTAGCAACATCAATTATTCAAACAAGCAAAAGTCCTTTTGCTTCACCTTGTTTATTGGTTAAAAAGAAAGATGGAAGTTGGAGAATGTGCATTGATTATAGGCAGTTAAATGCATTAACTGTAAAGAACAAATTTCCCATTCCTGTGGTGGATGATCTTTTGGAAGAGCTAGCTGGTGCACAATTTTTTTCTAAACTGGATTTGAGATCTGGTTATTGGCAGATCAGGATTAAGCCTGAAGACATCCCAAAAACGGCCTTCAGAACACACCATGATCATTTTGAATTTAAGGTAATGCCCTTTGGCTTAACTAATGCACCTGTTACTTTTCAAGCTCTTATGAACGATATATTTGGAGTATATCTCAGAGAATTTGTCCTAGTATTATTTGATGATATTTTAATCTATAGTTCTGATTTGCATAGTCATGAGCAACATTTGAGAATTGTCTTGGAGATTCTAAGGCAAAATAAACTTTTTGCTAAGAGAAGCAAATGTTTTTTTGGCCAATCTGAAGTGGAATATCTTGGTCATACTATTTCTCCTAGGAGAGTATCTACAGATTCCTAAAAAATTCAGGCAATTCAGAACTGGTCTATTCCACAGAATTTGAAATCCTTAAGAGGTTTTTTGGGCCTTACTGGTTATTACAGAAAATTTATTAAGGGTTATGGGGAAATCAATAAACCTCTCACTACAATACTAAAAAAAAGATCAGTTTTTTGGACTAAGGAAGCTAAGAAGGCATTTATCAGACTCAAAGAGACTATGTGTAATGCTCCTGTGTTAGCTCTACCAGATTTCACAAAATAATTTTGTTTGGAAACTGATGCCAGTTCCAAGGGTATAGGTGCAATCCTCTCTAAAAAAGGTAGACCAATTGCTTACCTTAGTAAGGCTTTGGGACCAAAACAAGTTAATTTATCTATTTATGAGAAGGAGTATCTAGCAATATTAATGGTTGTTTCTAAATGGAGGCATTATCTTGAAGGCAATCCATTTATTATTAAAACATACCATGAATCTTTGAAGCACTTGCTAGAACAGAAGCTCACTACTGCTATTCAAAAGAAAGGATTAACAAAGCTGCTCGGATTGGACTACTATATTCAGTTTTGTAAAGGAAAATATAATAGGGCTGCTGATGCTTTCTCAAGGCAGTTTGAGGATTATTCTGAATCACATCAGTTATCTGCTATAATAGTTATTCCTGCTTGGGTACAAGAGGTGGAAAACAGTTATGAACATGACTCTTTGGCAAAGGATTTAATTCCTAAACTGCTACTTGACAGTCATGCTATAGCATATTGGTCTTATACTAAAGGAGTTCTCAGATATAAAGGCAGAGTTTATATTGGCGAGACAGGTGGTTTAAGAACAGAAATCCTTCCTACACTCCATGATTCACCACAAGGGGGCCATTCTGGGATACAAGCTACTTATCATAGTATAAAGTTATATTTTTATTGGAAAGGAATGAAGGCATTGGTTAAACAACATGTGCAACAGTGTGATGTTTGTCAGAGAATCAAACATGAAAATATCCTATAGCCTGGTTTACTACAACTTTTACCAATTCCACAGCAAGCTTGGGACTTTATTACAATGAATTTTATTGAGGGGTTGCCTACTTCTAATAGATATAATTCTATTTTGGTGGTAGTTGACAAATTCACCAAATATGGGCATTTTTTACCTATGGTTAATCCTTTTAATGCTACTGAAGTTGCTAAAATTTTCTTGGATCAAGTCTACAAGCTTCATGGTTAACCTAAGATTGCTTTATCTGACCGAGACAAAATTTTTACTAGTGCTTTTTGGAAAGAATTTTTGAAGTTATTGGGCACTACAACTCTATTTACTACTGCATACTACCCTCAAACAGATGGTCAAACTGAGAGACTCAACTAATACCTTGAACAATACCTCAGAGGACTTTGCTTTCTAAAACCTAGTTCCTGGGCTAAGTGGTTATCTCATGCAGAATGGTGGTACAACACTAGTTTTCATACAACATTGGGAACTACTCCTTTCCATGCCTTATATGGTTATACACCTCCAACTATGACATGGATAAATGAATCAAGGGTGGCTGATGTTCAGCAGTTTATGCAAGAACGAGACACTGTTAATAGTATACTACTTGACTAATTGACTAAAGCACAACATCGTATGAAGTATTATGCAGATCAACATCGCAGTGACAGAGAATTCAGGGAAGAGGAGGAAGTTTACCTTAAACTCTAGCCTTATAAGCAAACTTCTTTGGCTCTACGCAGGAATTTGAAATTGTCTGCTCGTTACTATGGTCCCTACAAAATCAAGAAACGCATTGGGTCAGTAGCATACCAATTGGAATTACCAGATTATTCTAAGCTTCATCCGGTATTTCATATCAGTATTCTTAAATGAAAAATTGGGGATCAAAAGTTGCTTCGCGAGACCTACCTGAACTCATTGCTGATGGAAAACTTCGAGTTTATCCTGCAATTGTTTTGGACAAAAGAGTCATCAAATGAAACAACAAGGCAGTGACTCAATTGCTTATTCAATGGTCAAATATGGGAGTTGAGAATGCAACCTGGGAAGATTTCACGGTCCTACGCTCCTAATTTCCTAACTTCGATCCTTGGGGACAAGCATCTGCTGCAGATGAGGGTATTGTCATGACCTATGAGGCACATTTAGGGATTACTGAAGAAGAAAAGAGGAATACGGGGAAATTAGGGATTGAAATTAGGAAATTAGATGAAGGGCAGAAGGATATGGTTATGTTATTACCTGATGGACCAGGAACGTTGGTGTGGGCTGATGAAGCTAAGGAGGGAGTGCTTAGTGGACCTGAGAAGGAAAACGAGCCCAATAACCTACATAACAGTAGAAGACAAATGTGTTAAGGGAATCTAGTTTGTTGATAAATAATGGACATCTGACAATCTGTTATGGCTATTTCTATAAAATCAGTTGTAATGAGCATCAAATTTTATGAATGAAAATATTGAGAATTCTGTTTATTCAATCTCTCTTTTCTTTTTTCTTATTCATTTCTAAAATTCTTGAGCAAATCATCACAAGCAACCGCGTCCAAGGGATGACGCAAATCCTGCAGAACTGCTCCTCTACAACTTACAGTCTCCACCAGGGTTTTAAAAAATGGTCCTCGACCGCGATTTTGGCTGCGATATAGCAGTTTTGCCGCCGTCTGAGTTACCCGCGATGGCCGCAATAGCGCCCGCAACGGCCGCAATCACGGTAAATCCGAAATAACCGAAAACGCGACCGCGACTTAAAACCATAGTCTCCACCTCGTTCTGGGTTACCACCAGATCTTAACTGCTAACCCCGACAACATGCAATATGTTCTCAAGACCCACTTCAACAACTACCCCAAAGGCTATTTCTTTATTAATGTTCTATTTGATTTTCTTGGAAATGGTATCTTCAACGTCAATAGGGAGTCTTGGAAGTTTGAGAGGCAAGTTTCGAGTCATGAGTTCAACACGAAATCTCTTTGTAAATTTGTGGAAACCGTTGTTGATACCGAGCTTCATGACCGTTTGATTCCGATGCTCTCTGTCGCTGCTTCCGAGAAGACTGTGCTCGACTTGCATGATGTTCTTTAGATATTTGTGTTTGACAACATTTGCAAGATCGCGTTCGAGTATGACCCGACCTGCCTTTTACCTTCTTTGCCGCAAACTCAGTTTGCAGATGCCTTTACAGGTTTCGGTGTGCGATCGAAGGGTGAACTTGCCAAGGGTGGTGGGCGATGGTTGGTGGGTTGTAATTTGGGCATTTTTATCAACAAAAAAAATCATCCTACATGAATTAATTATCTGTCAGGTACCGTTTTAGAAAAATTTATTGATCTAATATATTTTCTGATAATCCATGTCTTTTGCTTACGTGGTGGCGTCAACTCGGGTAAAGACTTTTTGAGATGGTTGCTAGATTTGTAATTTTTTTTGAAACAATATCTGACACGTATTTAATTTCTGTTTTTTTTCTTGATAAAAATGCTTGGTTTTTGTGATGCACAAAACTCAAATACAATGAGAAATGAGTATCAAACAACTGTTAAAAAGGAAACAACTCATTGAAACCTTATCAAACAAGTCAATATTTGTCAGTAAGAAAATGACTCCACCTACATCTATTTCGATTTACTTTTTTAGTTTATTATTTATATAATGGTTTGTTTACATTGATTAATTCGGTTAAATTAATAAAATATTGTAGTTGAAATTCCTTTAAGAAATATCATATCAATTTAGTAAAATGAAGTTAATTTTATAATGATTATTAAAATGATTAGTAATTGAAATCGATCTTAACAAAATTATTCGTAGTTACGAGTAACTTTATTTTTTTTTATATTTTTAGGATCAAACTAAAAAAATATTAAAAGTATAATAATTATAATAAAATTATCAAGAAGACGTTCAAAATAATTTTTGAAAATTAAATTCATTTAAAACTGATTTCTTAAAATACTTATTTTAGTTCCTCCACTTTTTTATATTTTAATTTAAAATAAAAATATATATGAAACGAAATCATCCCCATTTGCTCATTACGTTCTTGATCTTTATATCTCATTTTAGTAAATAATTTCTCATTATCTTCGATTCCACAATATTTTTCATCATTAATATCCCCCTAATTATTCATTTAATTCACTAATTATCCATCCAATCAGCATATCAGAAACATATTAAAATATATATTTATAAGAATTTTATACTCGATATATCAAAGAATAACTTTGAAACTCAATTAAATTTGAAAACGTATTCAACACAAAAAAGTTGTTAAATAATGACAAAATCAAGAGACGAGATAAAATTTATTGACACTATTTTTCATTATTATTATTATTATTATTATTGAAATAAAAAAAGTATTTTATTATCTTATTTCTAGGATTTAATGAAAAATTTTATTAGAAAAAGAAAAAAAATAATTATTTAAAGAAAATGATAAGTGTGAAAGACACGTGATTTTCTTTATGATTATATAATTTAATTTTATAGAAGACAGAAAATGAAAATGATTGACTAATTAAATTTTATCTTTTTTTTTTCCAACAAACAAAACACAACTACTGTGACGTTTTTACTCAAAAATCACTCAAACATGAATTAATTACATGTCAGACACTGTTTCAAATTTTTTTATGAATCTAGCAACCATCCCAGAAAGGCGTATCATTATTCATGCCTTACCTTAGTTGGCGTCACGTCAACGAAAGGCGCAGATGATCTGTGTCTTGAAAAAAGATGCTAGATCGATAAAAAATTTTAAAACGGTACTTAACAGATAATTAATTTCTAACAGGATAATTTTTGGGTAAAAATGCCTGTAATGTGAGGATTAGGTTTTAGAATATAATTTGATAATTTAGGTATATTTGTAATTTTAAAGTTTATTTTTATTTTGATCATATTTGATATTAAAAATATTAATAAAACACGATATGTCATATGAGAAAAATAATAAAATAATCTATATCATCTTAGAGTGAGTAAAAAATTTTAATGTAAGTTCAATGAGAAAATTAAACAAGTTGAAAGTATGATAAGTAAAATAAGAGAAAATGTAAAATTTAATGAGTAAGCCTGTAACTAGGCCCTGAATCGAGTTATTCCACCCCATTTTCCTATGGTAAACAAACCATCGTTTGCAAACTGAAAACTTGGCATGGCCTCGCTCGTTTGTACGTTGATAGCATTGTCATTGGTACCAATCGAAAAACATACCTTGGTTGCCAACAATCGTTGATAAAAGATTGCGTCATGGAAACCAAAAAGAACCACTCGGTATTTGTGGCTTCGTTGTCATTGGCATCGTCTATGGGAGCCATGGAACTGGAAATCAAAGAATTAAGTACACTAATCACATTTTTATGGTGTTCTTGTTCCACAATTGCATATGAAGTTTTCAACTTCCATTTCCCTTTATCTTCTTGGCCTTCGTAATATCCAATACCCATTTTCCCAACCCAGTCTCGAGGAGCCAGTGTAATCATAAGAGGACTGTCAAAATTGCGTAAGTTCAACACTTATGGGCGCCTTCAATGAGAGCATGGAAACATTGTTGGGATAAAGTAGAAATGTTGGAACCATAAAAGCTTCGCTGACCGATGTTTATGGGGTTGAATTGAGAGATTATAAGGGGAAGAGAGATGATGGAGAGATTTTGGGTTTTTTACTAGAAAATCACAACAAATATAAAATTACCGAAATAGCACCCTTTGACCAATATTTATCAGAATATCATCTGTTCGTACAACTTGACAATAAGATGCGTTTGTGGGATGTACTTTGCCTACATGCCAATCCTCTTTATTATTAGGTTACTTCATCATTTAAGTTAACTGTTAGTAAGTTAGGGTGGTTAGCTTTCTGTTAATTTTGGCAGTTAGATTGTAATATCTGTATATAAGCAGCAACCTTGTAATTTTTTTGATAAATGAAAAATTGAGTTCATTCTTCATTTCTTCCTTGAATCTTATATGTTTTTTTGTAATCTTTCTTCACTCTTTCTTGTTTCATCATGTTTACACCATTGAATAACATATTCAATAATGTGAGTAATCCATATTATTTGCACCAATCCGATAATTCCGGTGTTGTTTTGGTAACACAATTGCTCTCTAATGACAATTTTAATAGTTGGAAAAGATCGATGATGCTTGCTCTCTCTACCAAGAACAAGCTCGGCTTTATTGATGGTTCAATTGTAACCCCTAATTCATCCATGGTAGACCAGTTTCATGCTTGGACATGGGCCAACAACTTGGTGATCTCTTGGATCCTGAATTCTGTTTCTAAAGACATCGCTGCGAGCTTGCTTTATCACACCACGGCAGAAATGTGGAAAGATTTGGTCGATTGTTTTCAACAATCGAATGGACCTCGATTGTTTCAGTTAAAGAAACTTCTGTGTGAGCTTGTGCAAGATCAAGTATCAATAAGTACCTACTATACACAACTAAAGATAATTTGGGATGAATTATTTTCTCTCAAACAATTATGCAGTTGCCTTCATTGTACTTGTGGGGGTGTACAACATATGATTACTGAACAATAGCAGGAGCAAGTAATTCAATTTTAATGGGATTGAATGAGTCTTTTACTCATGTACAGGGACATATTCTTTTGATGGATCCTCTACCTTCAATTTCTAAGTCTTTTCCTTGATTCTTCAAGAAAAAATCAAAGAAGTGTTCAACTTGTACATCCTGTTTTAGAACCTACTTTTGCTGTCAAGACTCAATCTGGTACACGTAACAATAGACCTTTATGCTGTCGCTGTAACATTCTTAGTAACAAAAGTGATAAATGTTATATATTGCATGGTTTTCCTCCAGGATATAGCTTTAAGAATGGATCTTTTGATGTTCGTGGTAAGGGATCTCAGGTGGCTCATACTAATTCTATCATTTCTCATCAAGAATCTTCGGGTTCTACGGTTGGTGAAGCGTTCACTCCTCAACAATGTCAGCAGTTAATTAAGATACTTACTTCCCAACTCTAATCTGCTTCTTCTTTGGATGCACCATTCACATCCATTAATATTACGATGCAAGGTAATCTTCTGTCGCATACGGAATATTTATCTGTTGCAAAAACTGATTGTCAGATTTTGGATTCTGAAGCTTCACGACATGTGTGTTATTCAAGATCTCTCTTTGAATCCTTGGTTCCTATCGTGGGTCATTCAGTTACTTTACCTGAAAAGTCCATTATATCAGTAAAGTTTACAGGAACAATCAGATTTTCCCCTGATTTTGTTTTGTATGGTGTATTATTTGTACCCGATTTTCAGTTCAATCTTCTGTCAGTCAGTGTTTTATTACACGATTCT